GGCTTTACCAGGTCCTGTACTTGTAGAGTGCATGCTGCATATTATACAGCATAAAAGGTCTAAGAATTATCTAAATCTTCCAATTTGGCTCTCATCTGAAAGGCCACATGTTCCTCTATTTATTCATATAAGTTTCTTATCCAATTTTTCAGTAGTTAGGGAAATATCTGTCAAAGGGAATACAAGTTTGTGTCCAGCTGCCTCCTATTTTTGCGGAATTCTGGCTTCGTCTACGCTATACCGGTCCTTATCCCAAGCAGAGAATGCTTCCTAAAATCAAGCGTAAAAGGTCTGAAAATTATCTAAATTTTCCAATCTTGCTGTCATCTGAAAGGCCACATGTTCCCCTATCTATTCATATAAGTTTCATATCCATATTTGGAGTAGTTAGGGAAATAGCTGCCAAAGGAAGTGCGAGTTCTTTTCCAACTGCGTCCTTTTTTGCGGAATTCCTGCTTCGTCTGCGCTATACCAATCCTTTTTAGGCGTATGGAATTCTTTATATATTCCAGCATAAAAGGTCTAAGAATTATCTAAATTTTCTAATCTTGCTGTCATCTAAAAGGCCACATGTTCCCCTATCTATTCATATAAGTTTCATATCCATATTTGGAGTAGTTAAGGAAATAGCTGCCAAAGGAAGTGCCAGTTCTTTTCCAACTGCCTCCTTTTTTTGCGGAATTCTGGCTTCGTCTGCTCTTTACGGTCCTTATCCCGCGCAGAGAATGCTTAATATGATCGAGCATAAAAGGTCTCAGAATTATCTAAATCTGGCAATCTTGGTGTCATCCGAAAGGCCACATGTTCCTCTATCCATTCATATACGTTTGATTTCAATATTTGCAGTAGGTAGGGAAATATCTGCAAAAGGAAGTGCCAGTTCTTGTCTGACTGTTTGATATTTTTGCGGAATTCTGGCTTAGTCTGCGCTATACTGGTCCTTATCCCTCGCAGAGAATGCTTCATATATTCGAGCATAAAAGGTCTAAGAATTATCAAAATCTGGCGATCTGGGTGTCATCTGAAAGGCCACATGTTCCTCTATCCATTCATATAAGCTTGATTTCATTATTTGCAGTTGGTAGGGAAATATCTGCAAAAGGAAGTGCGAGTTCTTTTCGAACTGCCTCGTATTTTTGCGGAATTCTGGCTTCGTC